AGTGAAATTCAAACCATTAGACAGCTACATTATAGGGAGATTAGTCACCTTTTCCCAGAGGAGTTCCTTGATGATGTAGTTGATTATAATGATGGGCCTAATGCAATTCCATTAGGATACAGCTGTTACAATGATTTATTCGAAATTAAAGATGTAGCTTTTTATCCGTGGAAATTCAAATGAGGAATAATATCTAATCAGACATGCTGTCTTTAAATGAAAAGGCTAAGGAAACACCAATTAGGATAATGGCATCAAATTTAATGTTAAAAGACTATGTGAGGTCTATAGGCACATGCAATCGCACCCTTGAAGGTGTTGTCCAAGCTTATTCGTAGCTAATAGTTGGTCTTTGAGGGGAAACCCTAAATTAAGCATCTTTAATTTGCAATTTTTATTACCTTTTGAACTTTTTAGTTGAGGACTCGGTTTTCTAGGATTCTGGTTGTGGTGTCATAGTTTGATGATGACTTGATTATACTGTCCACAATGGGAAAAAAATATTACATTAGTATATAAATTTCCCAGGGGAAAGGGAGCAGATTAGTTTACATTGCTAAAATATTCACTCCCAATGCTGTTACCTCCTATTAAGGCAAACAGTCTTGTGCTCTCTCAAGAATCAAGGAAAATCTTCCATCCTTTCTAACACTAATAAATTTTTGTTATCTTTTCTACCCACCAAAGTCACTAATTTCTAAGCTTCTTAATTTTTGATCCATTGGAGTTGGTGCAACAGGAAGTGGTCAGGATAAAAGCTATCCTCCCAGATATTCACAAACTGTCAGCATTACTTCTGGCCACAGAAGATGACTTTTTATGGAGATGTTTTGTTGTAATTTCAGAAGGTGATTGTTAGTTATCTTGGCTCCGTTAAACTTAGCACATCTGGGATGTGTTCACATGAAGACATTGGCTAAAAGCTGTGTCTTGTGGCCTGGAATTGACTCTGATATGGAAAACACTGGAAAGGACTTTTCTTCTTCTTTTTTTTTTTCTACTTGGTCTAATCCAACAAAGACACCTTCGCTGGGAAGCCCAGTCAGGAATTCATTTTGAAATTGAAGAGTGAGTACAGAAGTCAAACTCCTCAATTGTTGTAGAATTCTTTTCAAAATGGCTTCAGATGCTTTGAGTTCTTCCCCAAATTTCTGCCATGGCAATCACCAGTATAGCTTTGAGACAATAATTTACAACCCTGGCACTGGAATTTCTGACAGTGGTCCTATTATACAATCACTTGGTTTGAATGTAACGAATTTGTGGAAAGGACTTGCATCTGTGTTCTCAGCACTGTAGCCCATCACAGAGAGTGGAGGCTGTGAAGAAGGCCCAGAACAGGTAGGAACACAGTGTTTGCCTCTCATCCCTCAAGTCAGAACTTGATATTTGCCAACAGAAATCAGTTCTGCTAAACTTGTGATGTAGCAATATCTAAAGGTTTCTAGTCTTAAAGGAGGGTGATTAAGACACACAGAAACATAATCTTGTTCTATCAGAACCTATTCTTTGTTTATTTTCAGCACCAGTTATGGAGTTTGAACCAAGGTAGAATTACCTCCACTTTAGTTGAAATTGTAAGGAACATTTTATATAGTGAAGTGTAAGCCTATTAGCTCATGAGTACATACTTCCAAGGACTGATTAATAGTGGACAAATTAGGATTTTGGGGTAGTTTTATAATTTATTATTTTTTGCCATTTTCCTAGTATACTATAATTTATTTTACTTTTGTGGGAAGGTTTGGCATAAAGTGTGAAAGCACTTTGTGAATTATAAATGAATTCATGATCTGGATAATGTTAATATGAACAACAATAATGTCAACTTTACATAACTGATAAAGCACTTACTGTGTGCCAGGGACTATTTTATATATTTTACATATTTTCACCTATTTGATCATGACAGGAAACCAATGAGGGTAAGTGTTATGAGTATTCCATTTGACAGTTCTAGGACTGAAGCGCAGAGTGGTAAAGTAACTTGCTTAAGATCCTCCCATTGGTATGTGGTGTAGAAGGATTGGAACCCAGGCAGTGTGGCTTCAGAGTTAAGTACTCAGATCTGGGGAACCCCCTCCCCTTTCTATGACATTGCCATAGCGAACAGTTAGAAAATATGTGTTTCTAACGAGGCTGGGATTGAATGAGGAGAGTGTTGTCATTTGATTTTGATGTGTTTGAATCTGATAAGTACCTGTGTATTTTACTTTATGTGCCTGAAGAGAATATAGCAATAATGATAGATAGGGTGTTTTTAAAAAATTTGATGTTTCACAGTTCCACTCTGTGGTTGGTTTTAAGCAACTTTATTCTTCTAACAATATAAAAGGCATTTTTTAAAGCAAAGGGTAAATTGTGGTTTTCTATTTCTCCATTTTTAAAGAAAATGTTTATCTCTTGGTTGGGTTCATGGTGAGAAGTGGTTAAAGTCTCTCTAAGAGAATCAACAGGGAGCTATTTCACAAGGACTCCAGCCTCTGGCTTCTATTCACAGCAGGTTCTCTTCTAGACAGTGACACTGACTTGTGCAATTTCAAGGAAAACAGGCCTGGGCAGCTGGACCAAGTGTATCTTATAGGCTTATGGCGATAAGCAATACATTGGTCTGTAGAGTTGAGATCCACGATTGGTGCAACAAACTGAGATACCCTTTAAAGAAATTTAGTTCTTCAGTACATTTTTCTCCACAACTTACAACTTCAATCCATAGTTTAGGGTCTAAAACTCTCTTATTGCACCTATTTCTACTGTGATGAAATACATAGCAAAAGCTTCTTTGACTCCAAAGAAATGTTTTGTTTTTCCTCCCCTTTTGGAAGGTCATTTTTTAGCCAGATGAAAGTAATTCAACTCATAAGACTTTCCCTTAAAAGAAAAAAGGAAACACTTTTAATTTCTTGTCTTCTCCTGGCACCCCACTTAGGTTTTGTAAGGGATAGTAGAATTGTATTCATGGGTGGAATCAACTGTTACATCCCACTATTTCTTCCAAGACCAGTCATCACCTTTACTCCGATATCGAACAGTCTTGAAGGAAGTATACATGAAGTAGGAAGCCATCACAAATGTTTGTGTTCTAAGAACTTAAGTGTCAATAAATAAAAGTTGCTGTAAAGATAAACAGCTCAGGACACTTTGACTGTCTATTAAAATTCAAAGTGACATTTGGGATGGATGTGTTGTACACAGGCTGTGCATAAGATGGCTTTCCTCTGGTGATCTCATGGGTTAATGGGAGGTGTACATGTAAAGCCTCTTCAGAGTCCACTGTTTCCTCTTCTGTGCTTCCACAGGGCCTCACCTGCATCTTTGTTATAGAACTGACCTTATTGTAAACTCCTGGCATTTATAAATTTTATTCACTTACAGTAGTTCCAGAAACACAGTAGGTACCTAATGAATATTTGTAGATTGAAGAGGGAAGGTAGGACACGTCCATCAGTAAGACAGAGGAGCTTTTTAGGCAAAGAATAAGAAGTGAACAAAGAGAAAGACTTAGAAAACTGTAGTGAGAAATCATCACATTGTTCACTTCCGCTAAAATACAATATAATGTGCGAAGGTGCTATTCGAAGCTACAGTTGAAAAGATAGAACAGAAAGGATTTCGCAAACCATTGACAAGGTGGGGGAGGGTTAGTACTAGTAAATGATCTCTTAAGTTTGCAGCCTGCATGACCAGAATTATTGTGATCCTGTTAACGTAAATGGAAATTGAAAGGAGAACAAGTTTAGCAGAGAAGGACTAGTCTGTAGTGAAAAATTGAGTTCAAGGTGCCAGCAGAACCTCCAGATGTTCTAAGGAATTCTAAGTGGAAACAAGATGATAAGCTTACCAGAGAGAGGTCAAAGCTGGAGGAAGTACATTTGGCAGTCAGTCCTACAGAAGCGATTATGCAACTGAGGATCAGACGAAATTGCCGACGGGGGGAAAGGGAAGTTGAGAGGAGGACAACATGAGGACTGAGGACAAAATCTTAAGGGCTTGAGAAAGAAGGATAACCAAAGCATGAAAGAGAAGAAGCTATGAGAGCCACTTGGCACAGCACCCAAGGGAGGCTTAGCTGGAAAGGGGGCGTGCAGCGAAGTGTAAGGAAACAGCCGAGGTGTGTAGTCAAGAACTGAGTTCAGGTGTTGCTCTCAAACTGTTAGCTGCATGGAGTGCAGCTAATTCCATAGACTCTTGGGCCATAGTGTCCATATCTGCATCATGGGAATAGTACCCCAGTAATTGATATGATCATTTAAAAAGTTTAAATGAACAAGTGTTCTTTAGAAATATTTTTTAATTACTCTTTCTATTAAAATAATAATAGACAATACAGTGGAAGATTTGGAGTTATCTGTATTGCTTAAGTATATGCGAGTGACTATATCACAAAATATATTGTTTTACAAATATCTTGTAACCAGCACAAAACTAAAGACTTAGGAATTTTTAAGTTGCATGTTTTATAAAAGAATACACTGTTGGTTTTTACCCACTGTCTTTTGAATAAAGCTCTGGGAGATTAGATATAATTTACTATCTTAGTAAGCTTAATTTTTCAAGCACTTATTGTATACCTGTCACGTTGCTAGCACATTTTACTAAGCTAATCTAATTAAGGTTTTGCTTTCCAGTTCTTAGGGTGTTTATTTATCTATTGAATATTTCTCTTCAGGTGCCACTAATATTCTTACCAACACTGTGACCCTAAGCTTTTGAAGACCCCAAATTTATAGCACTTGTGATTTTTTTATTACAGTCTGTTGAAAAATACTGTAATTTAGTCTTTATTTCTGTGAGAAGCAAAACTGTTATTTTATTGGGAAATATTTGCAAAATTTTGCCTTCCAAAACCTTATGCAGTATATAAAAATTAATTTTTTCCACATCTCAACATCATTGATGGAAATACATTTAAGTTGCACTTTAATGTACTGGATATTTTTCTCTTTTATCAGAAAAAGAAATAATAACCAACACTTTCTTATTCTTTTTTTTTTTTTTAGGGTAATACATTAAGGAAAATACTCCTGAATCGATACTTTAAAGGTGATTATGGAGTTGGTATAAATGGACCCCTTTCTGGAACCTATGGCAAATCTGCACCAGGGGGAGGTAAGTCTTTTCCATTTTTCTTCTTTTAAAAATTATCTTGTAATCTTCAGCTAGTACTCTCATATTTCACTTAAAATAGCACAAATATAAAAATTTCATTTATAAAGCGCTATTAGCCATTTAAAAAAAGGGAGGAATCCTGCTATTTGCAACAACATGGATGGACCTTGCAGGCATTATGCTGAGTGAAATAAGTCAGTCAGAGAAACACAAATACTGTGTGATCTCACCATGTCTAATCTAAAAAACAAAACCCATAGAAACAGGTGAGATTTGTGGTTGCCAGAGGTGCCTACAGGGAAATTAAATAAAGTGTTCAAAAGATACAAACTTTCAATTAAAAAGATATATCCTAGGGATGGCTATACATACTTAACCATGCTATATTGTACATTTGAAAATTGCTAAGAGAGTAGACTGTAAAAGTTTTCTTCATAAGGGCAAAATTTTAATTATGTGAAGTGGTGAAAGTTAACTAATATTTTTATGGTCATCACTTTGCAATAATACATACAGTATATCAAATTGTTATGTTGTGCACCTTAAGCTTATGTTATATGTTCATTGTATCTAAATAAAAAGTCAATGAAAAGCACTATTAAGAACCATTCTTCCATTTCAGATTCATAAAATGATGGATTTGAACATTAGTATTAATTTTGTCTTTTTACTGGAAATTAAACTAAGTTATAATTTATTATATGTAAATTAAAAATAAAAATAAATCTAACTATTTCAAAAGAATTTTTAGTAAGAAATAATTTACAGATGGTATACATTTCATAAAAAGTTATGTTTTTAAACTTTTGATTTTTAAAAATCCAAAGCTTATACTATATTTAACTTTGTAAGCAATGAGTACCAATTTTAAATATTTGTAAGGCTTAAGAATTTCAAAACCTTAGATGTTAATAATGTCTGTAATTAAGGTTTATTTATTTATATCTCCTAATCACAGGAAGTTTTTCTGGGCAGGACTCAGATAAGATGGGGATATCAATGTCAGATATTCAGTGTCTGCTGGACAAAGAAGGTGCATCCGAACTTGTCATCGATGTTATAGTGAATACCAAAAATGACAGAATTTTTTCCGAAGGCATTTTACTTGGCATTGCCTTGCTCGAAGGAGGAAATACACAAACTCAGGTACCTGCTTATCATGATGAGCGTTACATCTATTATTTGTGGTTCTGATTGATTTGTCATAGACACTAAGCAAAAGTAATGTGTTTTCTTTTAGCCTCTCGTGACTACACACATCTATAAACCAGTCTTGTGTCCCATTTTCCTTATAAATGTATTTGATTTGCTATAGAAACATGGAGCTTTGCAAATTATTCAGTGAAGCAGAACATTCCCTAGAAGTAGCCTCCCTAACATTATACCAGAAATTCTGATTGGCTTAGGGACATTTTAGGCTAACACCCTGCAGATAAAAGTAACATTTGGCTCATCGAAGAAGTAAATGTTGAGATAATAAGCATAAACTCCTCCCACAGTATTTGGCATTATACCCAATAACATTCACCTCCCATCTCAATTTGTCCCTCCCTTATATACAATGTTAGAAGTTTAGAGCAGTAACATACTGTTGCCCCTAACCTCTCAGTGCTCAGTACCCTGATGCAGCTGAGTGGGTGAATTTTTCACTAGCAGGACAAGAACTATTTCATTTGTTCATTCAACTTAAGGCAGGGTGATTTGAAAGTCATCATTCATCAATTTGGTGCTCTACTGCAGTGAGCAATATGCTCACCTGTGTGTGAGGCTCAGACTGCTGTTCTGAAGGGACCATTTTCATTTTGAAACTCCTGCCAAGTTTCCCTGGGCTCCTCCCTATCCCCCATGCAAAGGCAGAGCAGAGAATGCTAGTGAGCCTGAGGACTGGGAAATGCTCATAGGCAAGGTGCCTCCTCCTCCTCTTAGTCCTGCCACTCACTACCTGCTCCTTCTAGGTTTGCCTTTGTCAGAGAAGGAAACTATGCTACACCTAATTGGAAATTCCAGGATTCATTGTCTCTATTCATGGCAAATGGAAGTCACATCTAATTAAGAACTAGGATATAGTCCTTTACTTAGCAATCCAATACAAGGAACAATAGGAATTTTGTGATTTGGCATAGCCAGTAACAGGGAGCTTTAGGAATAAGGGCCTCTTGAACAGCAAACAGCACGATGACCAGAACGTAACCTTAAAACACTGATACTTCTTAGTTAGAAAACAAGTCTAGTGAATTATGGATCCTTAAAGGTTGAGGCCACATGCTTTGAATACCTGGTGTCTGGCATTATGTCTGGCCTAATCTAGGGGTTAATAAATGGATAGGAGTGATGGCTGTATGAATGAACGGGTCTTCACAAAGTTTTCCCTATCTTAGGAACTTTGGCAATCACTCCTGTATTGGGATCCCACAGCACTTATTTATTTAATACTCATGTGGTACTTTAATTCTTCTGAGGGACGTTAGTGGTGTGAAAGGAGTGGGAGTGGCAGGATTTAAGTGGTTTTCTTGACAATTGTCTTTCTTTTACAACCAGATAATCAGTTTGGATTTTCTAGAGAAATTTGTCTAGGCAACTCTATAATGTCAGATGTAGATTATCCAGAGAATGGAAGTGAAAGATTTTTGGGACAGCCCTAATTGGTTTGGCTCAGTGGATAGAGCATCGGCCTGCTTACTGAAAGGTCCCATGTTCGATTCTGGTCAAGGGCATGCACCTTGGTTGCAGGCACATCCCCAGTGGAAAGTGTGCAGAAGGCAGCTGATGGATGTTTCTCTCTCATCGATGTTTCTCTCTATCCCTCTCCCTTCCTCTCTGTAAAAAAATCAATAAAATATATTAAAAAATAATTTTGGGACATCTTTTGGTAGAAGCAATCCTTGGAATTATAATGCTTTCTCAATTCCTGCTTCTGGGCCACTGAGGGTCATTAGATGAGATTATCTTTGTTGTTATTTGTATGACATCTTGCCTTTCCAATTCAATTTCATCTTTCTTAGAGTAGGGTATCATTATCCAGTGCTTTGTATCCATGAACAAATATTTGTTAATGAAACAACATTAAATTATTTTGTATGTGAAAACCTTCTAAGACGGGTTACGACAGTTTCATTTACCAGCTTTACCCTATTCAGATTTCTCATCTATCCATACTGTTGTACAACCCAGAAGTAAGCTGAGTGTTCCTGGCTAGAAGAGGTCTACTTGAGGTCAACTGGAATCCTAATCCTTGCTCTTTAGTGGAATAAAACTCATGACTCTCCCAGACTTCTGCTAGTCTCTATAAGGATGCCACATTTTCAGAGATGTCTTAGCAACTAATGTCTCGCTTTCTTAGTTCATGGGTTCTCTTGATACCTCTATACCTATGGTACTGAGATAGGACTCTGATTCCTCTCCTAGCTACATAAGTCAATTTATATATGGAATATACTTTATTTTATTTTATTTTTTAATATGGAACGCTTCACCAATTTGGGTGTCATCCATGCTAATCTTCTCTGTATCATTCAGTATATGTGCTGCCAAAGCAAGCACAGAATATACTTTATTAAAGATTGGTTGAGGGGGAAGATAGATAATACCTCTTAAGTATCAGGCACTGTTCTTACTGCTTTACATGTATTAACTTGGTTAATCCTTACAACAACCTATTAGGTAACTTTTATATTATCTCATTTTACCAAAGAAGAATCTGATATACATGGTTTAAGTTCCTTATCCAGGATCACATGGCTAGTTAGAAACAGAATTAGGATTCAAACCCATGCAGTCTGGCCCCAGAGTCTATGTTCTTAACCACTATAAACATCTCCTTTCTATTAAGTTGCTTTTTATGTGTTGGTTTTTTTTTTAATCCTCACCCAAGGATATTTTTCCATTGAGTTTTAGAGAGAGTGGAAAAGAGAGGGGAAGATAGAAACATCTCTGTGAGAGAAACACATTGATTGGTTGCCATCTGCACAAGCCTCAACCAGGGCCGGGGCTGGGGAGGAGCCTGCAACCAATGTACTTGCCCTTGACAGGAATTAAACCCAGAACCCTTTGGTCAATGCTCTGTCCACTGAGCCAAACTGGCTAGGGTAACATCTCCTTTCTAAAATAACCTTTTACCTCTTCACTCTTGGGAAATTTCTCTGACTGATTCACATGTGTCAAACACAAGGCCCACGGGCCAAATCTGTCCCGCCAGGCCTTGCAATGTGGCCCGCACCGCGCTGTCATCACTGCACTCCGCTGCGTTTCCATCACAATGACAGTTTATGACTGTTCAGTAAATCATTCGGCCCGCGATTTAGGCTGGATTTTAGATTTTGGCCCCTTCTCTGATTGAGTTCGACACCCCTACGAGTCATGCCTAGTCTTACTTTATCTCTCCAGTTCCTCACTTCATTTCCCTTCTCTGCCCTGGGACATCTAGTCTGCCCCTCCTTCTTGGGGAAAGTACTTCCTCTGTCACACATCTGTTTATCTATCACCCTTCACTCCTGAAAAATACCTTAGAATTTCCCTATATTCTATGCAGCTTATGGAGGCAGTTTCCTAGACAAGAACAATATATTTAATAAGAGAAATCCTTATGCTACCTCTTGAGGTTATATACACATATATAGAGCACACTTATTATCTTTGTGAAAATCATAATGTTCAAATTTGTAAAGCCCTGGTTTAAAAAAGGGATGTGTAAATAAAAGCTTAAGTTTTGAGCTTAAGAAGTTACATGATAAATTTACTGATTTAGAATTAGGTATTCTAGATTTAAATCCTTGCTTCACTGCTTACCAGTTACATAATATTGGGCAATTCACTTGTCTTTACTAAGCATCATTTTTTTAAATCTATAAAGTGGAAATAAGAACACTGTTTATTCATCACACAGTTGAAAGTATCAAAGAGATAATATATGTCAAGGAACTATATAAATTATAAAACTTTGTTTTAATAAAGCCATGAAGTTCCTACAACTTCCTCATTAATATATTGCATTGCCCTTCAACCTCTAACTCCATTATATTGAAAATATTAGGGTTTAAGCACCAGCTTAATTTGTGGGACTGTAAGGTCTGTGAATGCTACATTTATCCTTTGAATTAGCAGAACCAGCTCAACTGTTTCTCTCTAGTTGCTATGGTTACTGTGGATTTTTGGCCTGTTATTCTTGAGAGGTTGCTAGCCTTCTGCTTAGGAGCTTCCCCTTGTAGATATGAAGCCAACTTCTAAAGGTACATACACCATTCGGTGAATATACATTGTTGATATCAATAATTTCAGGACAGGCAACCATGTCAAGACCTGATGTCATTAGAGTCTCACCTGTGTTTCATAGTTCCAGGCATTCCTGCAGGAAAGCACATCTGCAGAGCTAAACTCCCCCAAATTGGCTGTTCAGATGAGTTGGAATATGCTCAACTCTACTTGATCTGGAAATCGTTGCTTTTTCATAAATTTCCTTCACACTGTCTCTCAGCGAGGTTATATAACTCTAAATCATCACAATTACTCAGGCTATTATCTTTCTTAAATTTTTACTTTATTTCTCTTGTTTGTTCTGTGTCTAGCCCACGGTTTTAGTATTAATAATTTTTAATCTCCCTACCCAGTGCCAGTTCTGACTTCTCTAGAGAGTATCATCTTTCCCTTCTCCTTTCTCTTCTAGATGCTCCCCTGAGTCACTAAGCAGAAAGTGATTAGGGCAGATACTTCCAAGGTTCAATATTTCCATTTCTCACTAAGATATATTTTAATCATATTTTTGGTATTGAGGCCTTTCTACATCATTACAAACCATAAAGCAGAATTTATCTTATGGTGGGCTTGTCCTGGAACCCATGCAAAGCAATGTAGCTAATGAAGCACCAAAGGACTTAGTGCCTATTTATCAGTGCATTCCTGTGAGTGAGGTTACCATGGTAACATATTCTAAATTAAATGTACTGTAATTCAGATAAAAGGAAAACAACTCTTTGCAATTCTCCATAAACTAGTTTGTACAGAGTGATCATTGGATTAGTGGCTGGTTTCTTCCCTAGATGTCAAACTCATGAGGGCAGAGGCTGTGTTTGTTTTCCCTTTTCATTCTATCTCTAGTGCTAGCAAAGGGCCTGGTACATAGAGACACTAAATAAATGTTGAACCAATACATGACTCTATAATAGCATAAAAATCAAAGAACTTTGCATACAACTTCTTATAGTGCCTTTGTAATTTTTAAAAATAAATAGGATGAATTAAATAGCATATGAAAATATGTTGGAAAGTGCAGAGCAAATACAAGATATTATTAGTATACATTAAAGAGTACAGGAGACTGGCAAAAGCTGTCAGTTTATTATTTATGAAACAATAGAGGGCAGCACATTAAATGTGTTCCTTCATTTAGAATCCTTATATTTACTTCAAGCATAAAAACACTTTTTCTCTGCTTGGGTATTGATATCTCAAAATACGTTTTCTTGCAGTATTCGTTCTACCAGCAGTTGCATGAGCAAAAAAGGTCAGAAAAATTCTTCAAAGTTCTATATGACCGAATGAAGGCTGCTCAGAAAGAAATAAGATCAACTGTTACAGTGAATACCATAGACTTAGGTAACAAAAAAAGGGATGATGACAATGAATTGATGACATCTAGCCCACGAATAAGAGGTAAAGAAATATTTGTGTGTTGGGGAGAGAACAGAGGCTAACATAGTGTTTAGATCTCACTTGCCTTTGTCATCTCAGTTGTCTTAGTCTAATCATCCCAACCGGGGCTCTGAATATGGTGTTCTATCCTTAAATTATTATGGTGAAGGTGTTGACTTTGAAGCAACTCAGCAGACCAAACTCAAGCAATGCATTATTGATGCAAAGCAACTACAGCAGATCCTTGAATATCATTGTTTCATTCAACATAGATCCTTTCATTATGACATTGATGAGGTGCCAGATGAATTTAACTCTTATTTATATTATTTAGCCTATGGTAAAATTGGTCTTGTTACACGTCATTTTGCTTGAAGTCACAGAAACTGTGGGTGGCATTAAGAGAGAACCTACTGTAGTGATATGAAGATGTTTGATTTCATTGTGGGAGGCATGGTAAAAAAAACAAAACACAAAACACAAAAAACAAAACAAAACAAAAAAAACAACTGCCCCAAACCTTCTGAGTATTAATGAAATTTCTAATTTAAGAACAGAAATTATAGCACTGATTCTAAAGAAAGTGTCTTGGTTTTTCAAATAATAAAACTGAACATCTGTGTAGTAAATACAAATCATAACAAATGAACATTTTGAAGTTTGCCATATTTTCCTACCTTCTTGTATTATGACCTCTTCTATTTTATTTATCGAAAAGACATAAATCCTTCGAAAACTGGCTAAGCATTAAGATCTGATTTTAGTGTCCCAGTGCAAATTTAATTTTTTAAGTTGCTAGCTCAAGTTCCTTTGGGAAAATTATTGCACCTCTTGTCGGGTGATTTTTATTCAGTTGTTGAAGAATTTGGGTACCTGGTTGTCTTTTTATTTTAATTAGCAAAAGAAAAATTAATTTGGAACCATAAGAGTGCTGTTTTGTTTTCAGTAAGAGATTCATCACTGCATTTAAAAGAGGGAATGAAAGGGCAATTAACAGAAGCTTCTTCAGCAACATCCAAAGCGTACTGTGTATACAGAAGAGAAATGGATCCGGAAATAGACATTATGTGCACGGGATCCGAAGGGGGCAACGCGGAGGACAAGTCTGCAGAGGAAGTGACGATGAGCCCTGCAATTGCCATCATGCAGCCGATCCTGAGGTTTCTTCAGTTACTATGTGAGAATCACAACCGGGAACTGCAGGTATTGTTCTGGTTTGTGTAAAAGCTGAGAAAACGGCCTACGGTTATAAGTAATTAAACTTGGATAAAAATAACAATTAGTTTGGGAGAGTGCTTTGGAGGGATAATCAATAAAACCAATAGTGCTCTTCTGAAATGGGGAGGAACTTTTGTCTCTGAGTGATGAAACATGAAAGGAAAATCCCTGTATGCATGAAACGTCGGAATGGTCAGGTTTCATTCTTTGCATCCTCATCCTCAGCTCGTATCTTTTTAACTTGGGTGAACATCATCTAATCCTGATATTCTGGTGTTGGTTGAGTAAGGTCACATTTTCTCATCTGTGCCTTTATAGTTTTATAGATTTCAGGGCATTTCATCATTTACAGTCTATTTCTTGAGTGAGGATATAGACTACACTTATATGTCTTCATTAGAAGTAGAGTTAACATAGGAGAGGGTTTTGTGTTTTTTCTTTTCTTTTCTTTTCTTTTCTTTTCTTTTCTTTTCTTTTCTTTTCTTTTCTTTTCTTTTCTTTCTTTCTTTCTTTCTTTCTTTATTTCTTTATTTCTTTAATTCTTTCTTTTTTCCCCCCACAATGGAAATTGATGCCTTTGCAAATTAATATAGTCCTGCTCTTATATGTGCTTTGGTATATTTCCCTTTGTCAGATAGATTAAATTAGGGATAACTAGGAATTTTGGCGCTTTTTTTTTAGGTGGTGGTGGGTATTATTTGTACACAATGCTTACATCACCATGGCAAAACCACATGAAAGGTGAGATAGTTTCTAAGAACACATATCCAATATTAAAGAGACAGCAGAGTTTGAAGTTGTTTTTTTTAGTCATTGCCTAGATTAGCAATTTTCAATGGGTATGCCGTAAGAAGCACACTGGTGTGCCACAAGAATTTTTAAAACATGAAATACCTGGCTATTCAGTCAGGAACACTGACCTCTTTTCACTTAGATAGTCAAATTTAAAAAAATGGCAACAGCCAACACAATAGCTGTCCAGTGCGAATGAATCAAAATTACTCTTATATTTTTTGTCAGATCAGCAAAAACCATAACATTTTTTGTGTGTGCTGTAGAATTTTAGTAATTAGTTTATGTGTGCCATGAAAATAAAAAAATAAAAAATTGAAAATTGCTGGTCTAGACTACAGGTGTTCTGAATTCGTAATATGTGTAAATTTATGTAAATTTAATTAAATATTCTCCAAGGGGATACATCTGGAATTAATGGTAAAAGCTATGGCTCTTGGTGACCACTGCACCACACCTGGGAGAGGGCTGCTGTAGCACTGTCAACAGACAAGGCCAGACGCATTATTCCCAAAGGGAGGACACTGGCTCTGCCTCCATACTTATCCATACAGACCCACCTAGTCTGTCGATGTAGGAAATAGATATATTATATAGAACCTGTTCAAATATTTCACTGATAGGAATGTGGGATAAAATAATTTGGAAATGCTACTAATAAAATAGCTTGTATTTAATAAGAATAAGTGGTGGGTTTATCCAATAGCTAATATATAGAAGCAACCCAACTGATGAATGGATACACAAAATGTAGTATATACATAGGATGGAATATTATTCAGCCTTTAGAAATGAAATTCTGACACATGCTACAAGTATGAATCTTAGGACATTATGCTAAGTGAAATAAGTCAGTTACAAAAAGACAAATACTGTGTGATTCCATTTATATAAAGTACCTAGAGTAGTCAAATCATGGAACAGAAAGTAGAATGGTAGTTGCCAGGGGCTGAGGGAAGGCTGAGGGGTGATTAGTAATAGGTATAGGTTTTCAGTTTTACAAGATGAAAAGGGTTCTAGAGACATGGATGTTGATGGTATGTCAGCATTGTGAATATATTTAATGCCATTGAACTCTACACTTGCTAGTAAAAGTGATTTAAGGTGGTAAATTTGGGGGTATTTTTACCACATACAAAAAATTGAGGGGAAATTACAAAAGCAAACTAAAAGAAAAAAAAGAGTAAGTGGAACAAATAAATTCAAGCAAATAAATCTCTATATATAAAAGCCTAAGCGACCATTTGTCTGTCCGACCAGTAGCTATGACACACAATAACGGCCAGGGGACAGACACTCCGACCAGTAGCTATGATGCACACTGACCACCAAAGGGCAGATGCTCGCAGGAGCTGCCGCGCTGCAGTGACTTGGCAGCTGCCGATCTCTGGTGATGCACCCAGAACCAGAGAGGAGGGAGCTTGATTCCAGGGTGTGTCATCCAAGAACCACTCTCCTGTAATCCGGGATCCTTCTGGGGATTGAGCCAGTTTCAGCCCAATCCCCATAAGCTAGGCCAAGGGACCCCACCTGCGCACAAATCTGTGCACCAGCCTCTAATAAATATATAAATATAAGTAATAAATTAAATTAAAAATTAAAAGTTTTTATTTTTGTTTACCCTCTCACCAGGTTTACTCCCCCAAAGAAATTACTGCTAACAATTTGTCTTTCCTTCCAGAAATTTTTATGCACATATAAGCGTGTCAGCCTTTCTAAAAGCACATTTTATAGTGTTCCTGAACTTGCTTTTTTTTACTTAGCAATATATTTTATTGCTAAATCACTTATTACTAGTTTATGTTTATATCAGTACATATTGATGTACCTTATTTTTATAGCTTCACAATACTGCAGCATTTAGATTACTGTTATTTATTACAATGGCTATGCTTTGGTTTCCAGTGTTTGCTGTTACAGACAGGGTGCAGTGAATCTCTTTGTGGAATATATAGAAATAGTAACATTGGGAACTGGAGTTGTAAGTTAACTGAAAATTTTAATAGGAGCTTCCAAGTTGCCCTCCATTTACTGTTTGAAGCTGCACTTTTTTTTTTTTTTAAGTTTCATTTACTTGGAAAACTTGATTGTTTTCTTTCCCTAATTAACTTCTTTATAGTTTCCTTTTCCTTCTTCTCTTCCTGTTACCTATTATTTAACTCTCTCTATATAGTTTCAGGATAATGACATTGAGACAAGCTTGATAAGAATTATCCTGATAAATATAGATGCTTGAGGAAAAAACAAAAGAATCTTCTTCTCTCCCCCCGCCCCCCTTAAATCCAGGAGAAAATTAACAAACACAACTACTTTCTTAAATAGAGCAATTCCATTTCACATTGCCATAGGGAGCAGAGCACACACACACATTCACACAGAACTGAAAACAATTACCAATTACACAGGGATTTTTTTTTCTAACCCTTAGGTTATATTTTCTTTTGCCTTCAGAACTTCTTGAGGAATCAAAACAACAAAACAAATTACAACCTTGTCTGTGAGACCCTCCAATTTTTGGACTGCATTTGCGGAAGTACCACGGGTGGCCTGGGCCTGCTGGGTCTCTACATCAATGAGAAGAATGTAGTGCTGGTCAACCAGACTCTGGAAAGTTTGACTGAGTACTGCCAGGGCCCGTGCCATGAAAATCAGGTAACCAGGAAAGCCGTTCTCCACGCAAAACTACTTCTGACTAATTAGCAAAGGGACCCAAATGTTGAACGAGCCAATCCTTGTGTACATTTAAAAGATCTTTCTTCTTGCTTTGCCAGATGTTTTTATTTTCCTAACAAAACATATGAGGACTGAATTATAGACAGGCATATACTATGCCATCTTTTAATTTAATTTCATTGTGAAAGAAATTGTATTTATCTGCATGAAAATGTTCCAGATAAAAATCAGACTTATCAGAAAGAGAGAAACATGTTTCTTCATTATTGCTCAGTTTTCGTCTCTTAGTGAATCTTCCCAGGATTTGAGGAATAAACTTCCTTTGGCTTCTACGGTTCCATTTAATCCAAAAGTTAAATGTTAGTTATATTTTAAAGGTAAAAAAACTAAGGTGATTCTGTTGATTAATTCCATATGGTTTCTAGGGATTTGATGTTAAAGAGAAGTTATTTTTGTAACATTTTGTTTTCTAGTCATGTATTGCTACTCATGAATCTAATGGAATTGATATTATCATTGCTCTGATCCTAAATGACATAAACCCTCTTGGTAAATATCGAATGGACTTGGTGCTTCAACTAAAGGTAAAGTAAATCCACTATTTAGAGGGGGGAGAAGTGACATTGTCTATATAAAACTCCCTTTCAGAGTTTCTCCAAATCTCTAAGTAGCTCTTGTAGAAACTAAGATATTGTCATATTTTCAGCTAATGAATAGACAGAATGGGCTAGTGAGAGCACCATGCACACGAAATTCCTGATAAAATGGAGGGTACTTTCCTGGAAGTCCTTTTAAGTGGCTCTTTGTTTCACCATGTCTCTTCTGTTGTTATTTTATGTTTTTTATTACATGGAAGAGCCAAAGGTGCTGAAACTCACTGCACCCATTTATAAAATTTACCTTAACTTCAGAATTCTAGCTGGCAAGTCACAGCTATTAGACTGTGGGAAAGGGAGGCACAGTTTCATTTTATGGCTCTCTTCCTTATAAAAGTTGTTTCCTTTTACATTAGAATTTTATTCCCCCCCCCCCCCCAAATTCTATAAGCCATTTTCACACTGCCTTTGAGAAGGCACTTGAACTTAAACTGCACACGTACTTCCCAGCAGTTCCATTAATCAGAGCTCAGGAACAGGATGACATTACAAAAAAATTCCTTCAATTTTTTGTACAAATGGGAATAACAAATGAAGGTACAAAGACGCTATATAAATCTGAAATACAAAGTCATGATATTCAGTGGAGGTGAATCATGAAAGACCACATTATTGTGTTTGGTGTTAAACAGGTAAACAAGTCATTGGTTAAATGACAATTTTCCAGTTAAGACAGGTCTGTCTAGTATCATAGCAAAATGTAATTTTCACTTTGTATATTTATGGCCAAAAAGAATGAAATTTTGGTAATTCTGCTACTAAGCATAACTACTGATAGATAACATACCTATGTACTGCTTATGTGAAGATTGTGCTAATGGCTTTTAATAAGAAAGTGTCTTTAAGAGGTGAGTTTGTATTTTTTCATTGTTCTCTGTTGCAGTATGTATTGCTTTGGGTCCTTCCATCCATGCATTAAAGCAAAGGTGATTCTTATGTAGATTGAACTTGTGTCCTTTCCCTCATTAGCATCTGCTTCAGATAGTGAACCCAGCCTAAGTCTATGTGGCAGTCAGCTTCATCTGAATTACTAGAAAAAAAATGTTTATTTCATCTTAAATTCAGCTTTAGCCATAATTCATAAAAATATAACTTATAAAAGCCTTGGCCTCTGGCTTCTTAAATCCTTTATTAGTCTAAAACAACCCTTTAAACCTAATTTTTAATTGATATAACTTAATTACTGGATGATTAATCAATTTAAAACAAAGTATAGGCATCCTGATTATTTACAAGCCCAGACCTATCTATATATATAAAAGGCTAATATGCAAAGTGTCCTTACGGGAGTTTGACTGGGAGACTGGGAGTTCTGTCGCTTGCTATGATGTGCTGACCACCGTGAGGTGGTGCAGAACCAAGGAAGGCCCTGGCCAGCAGGCAGAAGGCCCCAGTTGGCCCTGATCGCCAGCCAGGTCTAGGGCACGAATTTCATGCACCAGGCTTCTAGTGTTAAATAACTAAATGATGGGGTACAAATATATTCTTAGCTATTCAAATGACAATGCTTTTTAGAAAAAGAATCATTTAAAATTGTATATATTACTAAGTACAATTTAGGTATACCTCTTCAAAATATGACAGTTGGATAAATAAGGGTATGTAAAAAATACCAAATGAATGGGTTTGACCTGAAATATTTAAAGTATTGTTATCTACCTAAAAAATTAGGTGTGTGTACTTTAAGAAAAAAAAAAAATGAGGCTTTGACATAATGGCCAATAGGACAATATTTGTAAGACAGAATGATAGTGTCAAATGTTAGGGGGCTTCTCTGGGTAGGGTGCTTTTAATGATAAAATCTAGATAAATTAGAGAAAACTACATTTTAATATTAAGATTTTATTTTATATCATTTATATAATTTTTCTTAGTTATAATTCTAAGTATACTTATTTCTATATACTCATTTGCTATACAATTTTATGATTTTTTTTTTTCTGCATATGTCTTTCCCTTTACTTTTTAATTTACATTTCCTAACTGGTTTGTAACTATGAAGGGCTGAATCAGTAAATAGGTCATTTTGTTTTGTTTTGTTTTAAAGAAAGCCCTCTGTTCACACTGACACATGCATTTGATTTCTTGGTGTTTATATGTATATAGGCTTTTGTACTTTCAAATTGATTTAGATTTCAGTAGATCATTTACAAAATTTCTATTCTCCCAACATAGTAGGAAAAAGGAGATTTGTTAGAAAAAGCACCATAATGCCAATAGCATTCTGAAATTGGATGTATTTTAAAGCTATTATGTATTGGGCCTGCTGAGTGAGGTTCATTAGAGAAGACTGCTATTGTTGCTAAGGTTTTATAGCTTTGAATTCTAGGGGTCATTGCAAATCACTCCAAGGATTTCAACTATCCTTAAATCTTGAAACCTTATTTTTAAGTATATTATTTGTACTGATGGGATGTTACATTATAAAAACGGGTTTTAGGATTGATATAAATATACAAAAATTTTAAATGAAACAGAAAAATTAAGGCCTCTCCTACAAAATGCTAAAATCTTTTCAGGATGGGTCCATGACATTGATATTGTTATCATCATCATCATTGATAGTCATTTAAAGATAGTCTTTAGATTTTACTTCTGAAAGAAAAGAAAAAATAGAATTTGATATTAAAAACTGCTCAGTAAAATAAATTTCAACAACTTTCACAAAAACTCTGTAGAGATGTCTGCATACCAAACAACCGATTCAATTTAAGTTTTCATCCTGTAAGATGTTAATTTTGAGTTGTTGAGAACCACCTTAAGCCATTTGACTCTACTTCTTTTGTGCTTCCATCAAAGATTATATGTGGAAATTGAGATGTTTTGAACATTACAAAAACACTGTAGAAATATCTCTCCAGTAGCTTTTATCATCGTGCAATTTGCCACAATTCTAGGGCAGCACTATTGAAAGCAATGTAAAGAAACCTCTTTCTAAATGTTGAGAATATTGTGTTTTATGGGTCAAGACTTTCTGTAACTCTGTGGAACCGGTTTTAGATTATAAATCAGTTGTATCAGAAACATTTTTTATATCTATTGGTAAAAGTGTTTGAGATAACATATTTATAAACCAAATTAGAAAACCTCAAAGACAACATAAACTGTTTTCATTCTTTATTAAACAAAGATAGAAAATATTATTCTTCTATAACCCAGGTGGTAAACATGTTGCTTATATACTGACATACTGTGGGACTAGATATCTGTAAATTTATATTGTATCTCTAACTCATGAATTTCCAATTTTATAGATTAAATTTCAGTAATTATTTTTTAAATTTAAAATTTTGATTTGATAACATGTATTAATGTTTCCTATTAAAATCAATTTGCTAAATTCTTTAAATTATATACCATTTATCTGAAATATGTCATTGATACTGGTTCACCTTACTGTCTTGTTAAATGTCATCATAGAAATGCCCATTAGGAAATAGTGAAAGAATACATGATAATATTTGAATGCATTATATATAAAGTCAGTCTTGTTTTTAAAACACCTTTTCACCAATATTTAAAATATCCTTTGTTACTATCTCTCATGATTTATTATTTTTATTTTGTGTTGACAATAAAGTAAAACATCCTATTTAAAAATGCTAATAAGCCAAACCAAATTAGCAATTTAAAATTCCGTTTGGTTTAAAAAAAAAAATGGCCTTGGTAATCTCAATTAACAAAGGCAGGGGATCATTAATCCATGAAATCGATTTTTTTCTTGTGCATTAACCTGGTCTGTTTCTCTAGAACAACGCCTCCAAGCTTTTGCTGGCCATTATGGAAAGCAGACATGACAGCGAGAATGCAGAAAGAATTCTTTTTAACATGAGACCCAGGGAACTGGTAAGGAAACTTTTGAAACCCATGTTAATATGTATCACTAAAAGGGATAAGTTTGTAGTATGCATGTCAAGAAAAAGTCTAGTGACTTTTACTGCTCAACCAAGGCATTACGACACCTTACAAATATCTCAGAAGGCCTCAGGAGGGCAAAGGCCAGTGTGATTTGGGTCCCTATCATTTCAATGGTTTATCCACTCTTAGCACTAAACTATCTGCAAAGTCTTTTGACAGGAAAAAGTAAAGTTTGCTTTAGTTTCTGTATTGGAATATATGAGGATGCTATGTGAGACAAATGTTTGTACCACTCAAAAATTATATTTTACCTCTTTCTGAACAATGCAATAAAATCAATATCTTTTGTACTTGTTTTTATCAGTGAAATATTACATAATGCTTGTTTTAGAGAAAATTGAAGATCTGATGGGAATTCCACAGAAATCATTAGAGGGTCTTCCTATTGTACAAGTTATATTTTCCTCCTCATGTGTGACATGGAAATCATGGAGTAATATCACCAAACCTTAAAAGCATTGGGTTTCAAAAGCATTAACAACATCCTTAAACCTTATAGCTTGATGCTCCAATGACTAAATCCTAGTCTTATGAGAACTATTGTTAGTGCTATGAGAAAATTCTATGGAAAGCAATCTTTTGCTTTCTTTTTAATAGTAAGGAAGGAGCCCTGGCTGGGTAGCTCAGTTGGTTAGAGCATCATCCCATAATGCCAAAGTTATAGGTTAGATCTCTAGTCAGGGCATATACAAGAATCAACCAATGAATGCACAGAAAAGTGGAAAAACAAACCAATGTTTCTCTCTCAAATCAATAAAATAAAATAAAAAAATAGGAATGGAGTCAAGGATGGAAGATAAAAATAAGATGCATTTTGATTTACCGTATGTATAATGAGAGCCTCGCATCTGCAAGGCATTGGGCTATGAAGAGTAAGAAGAATTTTCTTTGGTTTGTATATTGGAATATGTTGGGAAGATATGTAAAAAATGTTTATTATCCCTCAAACATTACATATTTTCTGAACAATAAAAATTGATAGTGTATTTATGGTTGAAAGGGACAGTGGGTTATATATTTATTCAAAAACAGCACTGTACAATTGCCTGTTGAAAATACTGCTTTCTCTGCCCACAATACATTTATCTCATCATCCACTTCCTCCTTATGACCCACTCTCAACCTCTTGACATTTATCTCATCATCCACTTCCTCCTTATGACCCACTCTCAACCTCTTGACTCAGTTAGTGCCCATGCCCTATGCTTAATTACTAGTACCTCAAACTTAAGTCTTGCTGTAGGATTGTTGTGTTCTTCACTTTTAAAAAAATATGCAATTTTTTAAATTGATTTTAGAGAGAGAGAAAAGAAGAGGGAGAGAAACCTTGATATGAGAGGTATCTATCAGCTGCCTCCTGCACGCCCTCTAGTGGAGATAGAGCCTGTAACCCCATCACATGCCCTGACTGGGACTATAACCTGTGACCTTTTTTATTTTTATTTTTTATATATATATATATTTTATTGATTTTTTTACAGAGAGGAAGAAAGAGGGATTGAGAGTTAGAAACATCGATGAGAGAGAGTCATCGATCAGCTGCCTCTTGCACACCCCCCACAGGGGATGTGCCCGCAACTAAGGGACATGCCCTTGACCGGAATCGAAACCAGGACCTTTCAGTCTGCAGGCCGACGCTCTATCCACTGAGCCAAACCGGTTCTGGCTAACCTGTGACCTTTTAATGCATGGCATGACACTCAACCAACTGAGCCTCGATGGCCAGGGCACCCTCTAGATCAGCAGTCACTAACCAGACCACCTATGTTCTGTGAGGTCTGAAAGGTTGGCAGCCTCTGCTCTCCATGGTGTTCATCACTTGAGGGCACATACTCTATTGAATCCACCATTGGGTCCTCAGAGCAGAGGACGATGTCCACACCATGGATCTCTGTGACCTAGAAGGCACTTAATAAATAACGGCTAGATATCACAGTTCCAGAGTCTCCTAATCCATCGGAACTTACGGCACTGTCATCATTCAAAACTCAAAGCAAAATTCTCCAAGGAAAACAAGAAATAAATATTGTAGGGAAATACTTCTGTGCTAATTTAACTAAAGCCATTTTCATTTAGAGCTCTTTGATACTTTTCAAGTCCTGGGAAGCATTCTAGCTTTTAATTGCACCTCATGGACAATGTAAAATTCATGTTGTTTGTGGCATTCCAAGCCTTGCTGGTCCCCTTTGTTTCTTTGATAGGTGGATGTGATGAAGAATGCCTATAACCAAGGATTGGAATGCGATCATGGAGATGATGAGGGTGGAGATGATGGTGTTTCCCCAAAAGATGTTGGACACAATATTTATATTCTGGCCCATCAGGTAAAATATTTCTATCTTCACATGACTTTTGTGTATGGTGTAAATTGTCTCTACATAATTAATTTCTAGCTTCATATACTGTGGTCAGAAAAGATGATGGATATAATTTCAGTCCTCTTAAATTTATTAAGATATGTTTTGTGGCCTAACATGTGATCTATCTGGGAAAATGTTCAATGTGCGTTTGAGAAGAATGTGTATTCTTTGTATGCAATGTTCTATAAATATTTGTTAGTCTATCTGGTTTCATTTAAGGCCAGTATTTCTTTATTGATTTTTTCTGTCCAGATTATCTGTTCATAAATGTAAGTGGGGTAATTAAAAGTATCTCACTGTTATTGTATTGCTGCCTGTTTTCCCCTTTAGGTCTATTAATATCTGCTTTATATATCTAGGTGCTCTTATATCGGTTACCTAAATATTTACAAATGTCAAATCTTCTTGTTTTTTTAGTTTTTAAATTTTTATTGCATTCATTAGGATGACATCCTATATAATAAAAGGATAATATGCAAATTGACCAAATGGCAGAACCACCAGTCACTATGACATGCACTGACCACCAGGGGACATATACTCATTGCAGGAGCTGTCCCCTGGTGGTCAGTGTGCTTCCACAGGGGGAGCACCGCTCAGCCAGAAGCCAGGCAGTGCTGCTGTAAAGACTTAAGCAGGCAGGTGGACATCCCCTGAGGAGTCCCAGACTGGGAGAGGGTGTAGCTGGGCTGAGGGACCCCTCTCCCCCCAGTACACAAAGTTGTATACCAGGCCTCTAGTTGGTTAATAAAATTATATGAGTTTCAGGTATACAGTTCTATAATATATCATCTTTATATTGTGTTCACTACCCAAATAAAGTCTCCTCCCATCACTATTTATCCCCCCTTTACCCTCTTCTACATCCCCTTCCCCACACCCTTTTCCTCTGGTAATCACTATGCTGGTGTTGTCTGTGAAATTTTTTTTCTTTGCTTAATTCTTTCACTTTTTTCACCCATCTCGAAAGCCCCCTCCTCTCTGATAGCTGTCAGTCTATGTATCTATGAGTCTGCCTCTATTTCTTTTGTTAGTTCATTTTATTCAATAGATTCCACATATAAGTTAAATCAATGGTACTTGTATTTCTCTGATGGGTAATGTGATTCCTTCAATTCTGTTTTTCTTTCTCAAGATTGTTATAGTTATTTGGGGTCTTTTGTGCTTCCATATACATTTTTGGAATATTTGTTCTGGTTCTATTAAATATACCACTGGTATCTTAATAGGAATTGCATTAAATCTATAGATTGCTTTGGGTTGTATGGACATTTTAATTATGTTAATTCTTTCTATCCGTGAATATAGTATATGCTTCCACTTATTTGTATCTTTATCAGTTTCTTTCTTCAGTGTCTTATAATTCTCCAAGTACAGAACTTTTACATCCTAAGCTACATTTATTTATAGGTATTTTTTATGCAATTTTAAATGGGATTGCTTTCTTAGTTTTCTGATAGTTCAGTATTGGTATATAATATTGTAACTGATTCCTGGATACTTATTTTGAATCTTGTTATTTTACTCAATTCATTTATCATTTAGCAGTCTAGAAAATCTTTAGGGTTCTCCATATATATTATCATATTATCTGCAAACAAAGTTTTATTCTTTTCCAATTTGGTGCCTTTTATTTATTTTTCTTGTCTGATTGCTGTGGCTAGGACTCTAATACTATGTTGAATAAGAGTGGTGAGAGCAAACTCATATCTTCTTGTTGGATTAACCACTTATCATTATGTAATGCTCTTCTTTATCTCTTATTAAACTCTTGTTTTTAAAATCTATTTTGTCTGATATAAATGAAGCTACTCCAGCTTTCTTTTGGTCTCCATTTGCATGGAATATCTTTTAGCATGCTTTCATTTTCAATCTATGTATGTTCTTACATGTCAAGTCTTGTTTGAAGTATATAGATGATCTTTTTGTTAGTTTGTTTGTTTTATCCATTCAGTTACTCTATATCTTTGGTTAGGGAATATAGTCCATTTCTATTTAAAGTAATTATTGATAGGTTTGTGCATTTTTTGTTTTATCAATTATTTTCTGCATGCTTTTGTAGTTCCTCTCTGTTCCTTTCTTCTCTTGCTCTCTTCCTTTGTGCTTTGATTATTTTCTTTTGTGGTATGCCTATTTTTTCCTCATTATTTGTCTATTAACTATAATTTTTTGTTTTGTTGTTATTATGAGGCTTATATAAACAACTTATGTTTATAAGAATCTATTTTAAGTTGATAACAACTTCAGTTTGATCTCATTGTAAAACTCAACATTTACTCCACACATTTTATGTTTTTGATGTCACATTTTATATCTTATTATTACCTGGTATATCCCTTAACTGGTTATTGTAATCATAGTTATTTTTACTGATTTTGTTTTTTAACATTTATAATAGCTTTGTAAAAGTTAATTTTTCTACCTTTGCTATATATTTACATTTACAGTAAAATTCTAAAAGATGTTGCTATTGATTGTAATACAGTTGGATCATTGAAAAGATTTTTAGGTCTCTCATAGTATGTCTATGTCTATGTCTATGTCTTTATCATCTATATCTATATTTATATCTATGTGTATATGATAGGAAAAAAAGAAAAGGGCAGATAGGTTATAGCTGGAAGAACCAAAAAGTATTTTAGGTATTGAGGAACTAAAAGCTAAGATGAAGGACAAGTTGAAGGAAATAGAACACAGAGATTTAGAATGTGGAAAGGGTATAGTTTTAGAGAGAAAGAGAAACCAGGTGACAGGAATTGAGTCAAGCTAGAAAAGTAATGATTAGAGATTAAATGTGAGTAGAAAGAATAAAATCACATGCTGAGAATTAAAATGATATTGGCTAATGTAACAAATAGAGAAATGTGATGACACAGCATATGTGTGAGAGCAAGGAATTACTTCAGAAGCTGTAGCATTGTGGAAGGGAATCAGCAACGCAGAGGAGGATAGGGTGAGAAGTATAATAGAAAGTTGGGGAATATAGCCACTCATACTTTCTTGACTGAAAGCTGGATTTGCTCTGTCTGGAGAGTTTATTCCCTCTGTATGACTGAGCAACATCATTAACAGGACCCGATCATGGAGCTTTCAAGTGGGAAATGAACAACCAGACAAGTGAAGTCACCACTGGAAGCAGCAGAGTGATAGATATTTGAGCCACATTATACTGTCCATACAGACGATGCTTAAAAATGCAATCTAATATTACTAGTATAATGTGAGTAACCATAAAAATGCCAAGGTTTAGCCTTGGCTTGTTAGTAGTTAGAGCACCCATCAGGCTGTGGACCAATAGGTCACAGGTTCTATTCCCAGTCAAGGACATGTACTTTGGTCGCAGGTTCAATCCCCAGCCCAGGTTGGGGCATAAGTGGAGGCCACAAATCAATGTGTCTCTCTATTCTCTCTCCCTCTTTCCCTCTCTCTCTCTCTCTTTTTTCCCTCTCCCTCTCTCCCTTTCTCCCCCTCTCTCGCTCCCCCTCCCCTCCCTTACACTCTCTCTAAAAACCAATGGGGGGAAAATATCCTCACTCCTCAGGCAGGATTAAAAAAAAAGTCAAAATCAAGAAAGGACTTATGTGAGGTCAGTTCAGTTTTAAGCATTAAGCAGAGAATACAAATTTAACAACAGGTTAAGGTGGATATTGAGAAGAATGAAGAATGAAAATAATGAATGCATGAGCTAGTCATAAATCAAAAGGTAATGGTACAAAACATGAAAGAAGTTAAAAATAAAGACAGCATAAAAGGCAATGATTTTGATGGATTTGAGTTTACGAGAATGCTTGGAGATGACAGATTCTATTCAAGGATAATGGTGAAATTGTCCAAGGAATGGGAATTCAGAAGCAGTGAAAAAATAACAAGGGGTTAAAAAGAACATACTGAAATGAAGAGATGTGAAAATGGCTTGAATGAATATGTAGAAGTTTATTAATTTTTCAAAACTAAAATGTTAGAAAAGCAGTAGTTTGTAGAGCCCTGGTGGTACAATATAGAAATACATGAAGAAAGACAGACTTCAGGAAGAAAATGTCAGACTGGTTAAGGAGAAGGAAATGCTGAATTGCTGAAGCCTTTAAACCTTGTGATTAAATTGTAGGAGTGTAAATATTAAATAAGAGTTTATATGGGTTCTTTCTAGAAATTCAATGAGGGAATAGGCAAAAACTAAGTAGTTAGCGTAATAAATGTGAGAGGTCAGTCAGAAGGCTGATGGACCTTGGGCTCTAGCAAGGGCTAAAAGCTATGCACCAGTTGTTATGGTTGAAGGCAATCTCCTAATCTGATAATCTTGTACTGTTTACCCAACCTTACCTTCGATATGTCTGTTTGGTTTGCTAAAGAGCAAATGTATATCTAGTTTAAAAAAAAGCTATGGGTACAGACATTCAGAGAGCCATTCTACTAGAGAAGGGCCTCTGCCTGGTTCCCCCAATAATTTCTAAATTTATATTTCTTATATAGTATATCCATTTATGCTTGGCCCCTTCTCTAGATTCTGAATCCTTGCTGCAAAAGGTTGCGGCAGGTAGGAATGGCAAAATATATGAAACAATGTACATAACAGACATCTTCTTATTTTTTTAGAGTGACACAGAGAATTATTACCTTGCCAGGTATTATCAATAAATACGTTTTCATGAACAATTCAGCTTTCACCCATAAAGAGAGCACATGGTGCTCTTTTGATCTTCCCACCATGACTTCTTTGGCCCTCTCTACGCTAGGATATATTTGGTTTCTTGGGAGGCCAAACACGGTTGCTGAGTTCCTTATGAACCTATTCTCCAAATAGCTACCACACCAAGGCACAAACACAAAAAAATAGTGATTGTAAGCTTTGCTGCCAGAGGGAGCCATGTATCTGTGCTCCAAGGGTTTGGTTGAGTCCAGGTTTCAAGGCTTTCTTTCATTCTGACTATGGGATCATTCGGCTGCTGCATGCTGATGACTATGCA